CAGGTTTGATGTGTGTTGGACCAGCATACTGAGTCCCACTCTGCGTCTCTGCTTTGTGTTCTGAGGAACTGTTCAAAACCAGCTTCCTGCTCCCTGGATCACCCTCAGTGTTAGCCCATCCATCTCCTGTGATTTCTAGGAACTCTGGGTTCATTTTCTCAAAGACACTCAGTTTGCTCTGCCTCTTACATGGTAGGTGACTGTCTGCACGTCAAGTCTATGTCCCTCTCATATGGTAGGCGACTGTCGGCACACTGACTCTGTCCTTTACCTGAAACTGCCAATCCTTGTTAGCCACCCCTGCTTCTCTCTGTCTCAGCTGTAGGATTCGCCTTTATTGTGAGAGAGTACATGGCTGCTGTTAATGTGTAGACGCCACAGGGGTCCTGCTGGCTCTGGGTGGTGGGAGCATTGTGCTGCCGAGCTGAGCTGCACCTTCACCCCATGGCTCAGCTTTATACAGAGATCTCAATTGTGATGTTCTCTGTGCTGCCAGATGCTGGGTCCCCATCTGGCATTGTCAGGTGTTGCAGAGCAGCCCCTGGCCAGGCTCCCTCCTTCCTTTCTGGTTTCAGTGCTCCCATCACTTTGGGGTCCCATGAATTGTACCACTTCCTTGAGTGAACAGAATGTGCATGCAAAGGACTGTTTGCTAACAGACTCGAGTTGCACTTTGAGAAGCTTTCTGCAAGGCTTCCTGGTCTGCCAACTTATCAGACCCCACAGGGCTGGAGCAAGATGAGGCATCAGATCACCCAGGAGGAAGAGTTAAGGAATAAAGGAAAACACCCAAACCAGAGTAAATATTAGGTTTGCTGGGTCCCCAGTCCCAGCCAGTTATCACCGAACACAAATGCACATACCTGGCCAGATGCAGGCCCACATAACTACCATGGCGTCTGGTCCCGAGTCGAGGAAGCACTCTTCTCACTGTATGAAGGTGCTTGCTAATAAAGCTGCACCTGACCTTCAAGACTGCTGTCTTGGGGCTGTTTCCCTTCTGTGTTTGAGAGCTGCAAGCTGATGACACAGTTCAGGGTGACACTTGAGAACACCAGATGAGCACAGTGACAATAAACACCCCCTGCTCTGCTGAGAGGGGAGAAGTCTCCGTGCTGAGGGTGGTGGAGAGAGCAGAGACACGAGTGGGTGCAGATGGGAAGCATGAGGCCGGCTTGCTCTGCTCAGAAGGCTCCTGGCCATGACTTTTCTCCCAGAGAGCAAAGTGTGTACGGTAGTGATGGGGGAGACCAGGTAACAGGGAAGGGAGGGAGAGGGTCAAATGTGTCTGCAGTCTCCAAAACTTTGGGTGGGGCTGAGTCTTTGGAATTCACTCCATCCCTGTTCTGCACACCCCTTGCTTAAAGGGAAGCAGGCAACACTCTTGGATTCCAAAGGTTCTTGAAGTGCGGTTGTTGTGGGAAGAGGCCTCTGTCCACTGCTGACCACATCACCGAGGCAGCTAGGGTTCTGAGGCAAGCCAGCCACTTTCCACAGTTTTGGCAAAATTAAACTCAAAGGTGCTTTCCTCATTCATCAGAACATGACCACAGCTCTGTCGGAAGGCTCCAAAGCTCTTTGAAGACATCTCTGTCTGTTGGTGGCTTATGCTCACAGATGGGTGATGTCAGTCCTGGGTTTAGGAAGAACTTGCTGTGCTGAATCCTGGTTCCAAAGGATGGAGGAGGGGGTGGCAGGCTTTGAACTAACCTCACCTTCTGAGAGAGTAGAAACTGTCTTCTGGCCCTTCCATCAGGCTTTGGCTGGAAAGCTCCTGCCTAGGGCGGTGACAGTGCTTTCCAAACGCTGAACCTGTGGCCATGTCCTCCCTGACTGAATGGCCAATACAACGCCCCGCCTCCTGCTTGAAACACCAGCTGCTAGGACATAGCAATATGATGACTCTGTGGTTCCAGAAGAGGCAAGTCCCATGTGTGGAAGAGGAGATGGCTGGGCCAGCAATAGCTGGCACAGACACGGCTCTTTCAGCTGTCAGTACATTGGCCGCCACACCCATTCACTCCAGTCCTGCTGCACAGAGGAGGATCCGTAAATGTTTGTCACCAGCTGTTGAATGTTTTGTCAAAAACCAAATAGAAACAACTTACTTATTAGTATGGAATTAGGTATTCACAGATGTTCTCCACTCAAAAGAACCAAAGCTACCTGTAGTGAAGAAGCAGTTGTGAGACACCAACCTCACCCAGAAATGACTCGAATGTACAGATCAAGAGAGACAGACCCTCACACACAGAATCTACTTATTTATTTCCAGACTATTCTGGTGTGGGGGGTGGTTCCTGGAGATGGGTCGCAGTGGCCCACCACATTCTTCTGTTAAATAGTTTATTCTTATAGCTTACTATAAGATACATTATATTTGAAATAAAATGTATCTTTAAAAATAGACTTGAGAGCAGTCAGAGTAGTTGAAAGCCAGGATGCGAAGGCTATGCTTTATCAGAAACAACTTCAGCTCTCGGTGGGGGAAATTACAGAAATTGAAAATTTGCTGTTCAGTCCCTTTGAAGAGGATGCTCTCATTCACTCGGGGTCTCGTAAACTCCCCAGAAGACAGAATGGAGACAGTAGAGCTTGATCTCACAATGCATGTCTTGCAGATGTCTTCAGGATACACAGTAGTCTGCAGGCTTCACTCTAAAGACAACTCCTAGGAACACAGATGATGGCAGCACATGCTAGTGCCGTGATTGCTGCTAACGCTGCTGAACCTGCATTGCTGTGTGGCCTCTCTATCGACTCACTGGCCACATTAGTGCAGAGCATCTGCTCCCAGATTGCAGCTGGGGGGAGTTTCCCCTTCTCTCCAGCATCTCTGAACACCTCTGAGAACAACTCAAGTGGTTGTGGGTTAAGACTCGCCCAACCAGGGCAATAAAGAGAAAAATTAGTCTAATGCATGGTCTTAACAAGAGGGAGTGTGAGCATGAATAATTGATGTCACTAGTCTGTGGCAATCAGATAAAATGAAGTCCCATTTGCTCAACCTTATTAAAAGAGAGAGAGTGGGGGGGGGAGGGAGCCATGGTAAAGGTCGTTAAGGGACTTGTATCGTGGAAGACCTGCCTTCGAGATGGTAATGTGTTTTCCAATCTCTGTGGTCTTTAACTAAACGCAATGGTAAAGGTTCTCTTTGCATAGTTCTGATCCACTGAATTATTGAACGTTTTAGAAATACTTGACTGCTGACTTAGATGTCTTTGTGATGAGTTTGCAGAGTCTTTTTGGCGGGGATTATCTCCTTGTATCACTCAGAGATGATTCATCCACTTGTCAAAAAAGAACTAAGAAATAAGTGGAGACTGCTGCTGACTTGTGTGAGTCTCAGTGCTTGCACTTTTACCTCCACCTGCTCCGGCAGACCCGCCTTCCTGCTGTGTACACTGGTGACTTTAAAAACAAAAAGGTCAGACAGGCAAAATCCAACATTCAGGAGGCAGAGGCCAGCCTGGTCTACAAAGTGAGTTCCAGGACAGGCTCCAAAGCTACACAGAAAAGCCCTATCTCAAAAAACAAAAACAAGGTTGCTTTTAAAAAGAAATTAATAGCTCTTTTAGAATTGTCACACACTAGTTGTACTTGTGGCATCTCTGTGCATGCAGACAGAGCAGGGCACCTGGAGTGTCTGACTGAAGACACTGCTTAGTGCAAGACACACACCATCCCTCCTTCAGGAGCTGCCTGTGACAATGTCCAGATCATTTGCTGAAGATGGATTTGATCAGGTCCATCTTAGAAACAGCGCCATTTTAGTTATTTTTAAATTGTTTAAAACTTTCTGTCAGGAGCTGGTAATGGCACATGCCTTTAATCCTAGCATGTGGGAGACAGAGGTAGGGGGATCTCTGTGAGTTTGAGGCCAGCCTAGTTAGTCTACAGAGTGAGTTCCAGGACAGCCAGAGGTACATAGCAAGACCCCCAACTTTCTATCAGGAACTTTTCATCTTAGCTGCATCTTGGCTTGTGCATTAGGCATTAAGGTTGTGTGATTTCTGCTGTCTTTCCTTCCAGTTTTAGCAGTAGTTAACTGCTGTGACCATAGTGTTAGACTCCCCCAGATTCTTGAAGACTCATGTATTAGAAATGTGTACTGCCCTGAGATTGACAGTTCCCACGGTGGAGATGACTTAACTTGTTAGGATTTTCTCAGAACCCACATAAGAGTCTGCACTCAGAAGTGCTAAGTGTCTGGGTTAACCAGGAGAGAACGTGGTTTCCATGGGAATGCTAGAGTCACTCTGCAAACCCAGGTCCTTGCTGACCTCAGTGTGCTCACCACATGCTCAGCTGAAGTCAGCAGAGGTGCAGTGAGGATGTCTGTGCCCTGCCAAGTTGGGACCAGGACTGTGTACTATTGACTAAATGTCTCTAGTTGAGCTAACAATTTCCTTCATTAAAAACCTGACTCTCAAGGCTTCTTGTGTGATCCATCCTTTATTCCCCTTTGCTAGAGAAACAGCACAGACACCTTCCAGGAGGATTGCACTGTCTGGAGCCCACAGGTCTCTTCTCAGTGGCTTTCAAACCAGAACTGAAGGGAGAGTGGGGCAGAAGGCGCTGTTGGACTGTAGCTCAGTGTAGTGTCTGGTGCAGCTTCCCTCAGCCCCTGTAAGCTCTTTAGTTAACCCCAAATCAGAAGCCAGTGACCTGTAACCTTCATTCCTGTAAAAACAAACAGAAAACTATTACTGAACTAGGGTTCAGTTCAGCTGTGTGAGGAAAGCAGGCTGCCTGACCCATCCACCATTCTGCGTCTCTGTCTCGTGCTTTTGCTTGTGCTTTAGCCAAGGAACTCTTGGTTTCCCTCTTGGTCTTTTGTCACTTGGGTAGCTATGCCCCTCTAACTTCAGTGGCCTGGAAGTGTCCAAGCCATTGAGTAGCAGAGCTTTTCTGAGGTCAGTGAAATGCTCACTCAATGGTGGTGTACGATGTCTCCCTGACTTACGGGACTGATACCCTGTCCTCTCTTTCCCTCTCAGATCCTGGTGTATAGCCTGGAAGCAGAGCGCTGCCTCTCGAAGCTTGGCAATGCACTTGGTGACTTTACCTGTGTCAACCTCCGGGACAGCCCTCCCAACCTCATGGTCAGCGGCAACATGGACAGGAGGTAGGTCTGGGTTGAAGTGACTGTCATCTGTGGCCCTGAGCCACAAGTGCCTCATGCTTCAGCCTTGCCTGCAGCCCCCTCCCCCCCATCCCACCCCATCCTTTGGACTTGGAGCGAAGTCTCGAATTAGGTAATAGTTGGACCTGCTATGCCTCCACTTTGCTTCTGAAGCACATGGGATGGTTGCTTCTCTTTTCAGGCAGTTGGTGGATGGTCCAGCGAGACCACTTGGAATATCTTTTGTCCCCCCTGCTGCAGAATTTGTTTGGCACTGAAAGGCTCGCTTTCTGATATTAAAAACAATAACCTAAGGGACGGCTGTGTTCAGCACAATAGGGCCGCCTGCCAAGTGATGCCAAGAGTGTATTTCAGAGCACTGTGTGTCCCTCTGGTGACAGGAAAGAGACTTGATGGGAACAGACTCTAGTTTCTATTTAGCTGATTAGTGGCCTTCTCTTTAACGCATTGGCCGAGGAAGTCGGTTTTGCTGGTACAGGGGCCAGTGCCAGCTTTCAGCACTGCAGGATTAAAGTGTTTGAAAAGACCCTTCCAGTCCAAATTTTAGTTTTGCCCCCCTTGTCTTGTCTTCTCCTTTGCTTTCTCTCTGCTTTTTGGCTGGTTACCTGCTGTGTCTGATCCAGTGCCCCAGAGAGAGGTAGACTGGCCAGCGGCCAGAGCTGCTGGCACCCCTCCCCTGGGCCCAGCCCCGGGCTGCAGGTGCGGAGCTGCTCAGCTCTGGGTTTCTTTATGCCAAATCCCAGAGCTCTATCCCAGCAGAGTAGCAGCTTGCAGAAATCACTGTTGGATCACATAGTGTTTCTATCCTGAACCTCACCCACTAGCCCCACCCCCACCTAGAGCAAAAAGAGCCAGAGCATGCTTTGTGGGGAGAAGGCACTCAGTCCATGTTTCACTGGCCCCTCAGATGACTCAGAATGTGGGCCTTGCAAACAGAGCTCTGAGTTCAGTGTGCTGAGGCCTGGGGGCTGGAGAGGTGGCTCAGTCAGACTGCTAGGCAAACAGGACCTGAATTTGGATCCCAGAACCAATGTGAAAAAACAAGGCACACCTTTAATCTCAGCACTTGGGAAGCAGAGGCAGGGGGATCTCTGTGAGTTTCAGCCAGCCTTTTCTACATAGTGAAGTCCAGGCCAGCAAAAGCTACATACTGAGACCCTGTCTGTAAACAACAACAACCAAAAAAGGCTTGGTCACACTCCTCTGTAACCCTGGGAGAAGGGGCACAGGCATGACTGTCCTTGGAGTTCAGTGGCCAGCAAGTCAGAGAGCTCTGGGTTCAGCCTGTGTCATGTCAAAAGATAAGGTAGAGGGCAACTGAGGACAGCTGGCATTGAGTCTGACCTCTACAAGCCCTTGCACACAGTTGCACACATGCATACACTGCATGTGTACAAGCCCTTGCATACACACACACACACCACCAAGTAGCCCCAGTGTGTGGCCAGGGAAACAAACCACTCCCTGGAGCTAAGCCGACAGTCCCCACTGTTTTTGAGTGGAGCCAATGTCAGGCCTGAGCAGTGGTCTCTACCCAGAGAGTATGTGCAATGTGAACTTCTTAGTACTGGCAGGAACCCAGATCTCTACTCCAGAGCAGAGGAGCCCCTTACATGCGAAGACTCCAGAAAGCTCTAGAATGTCACCACCACTGTCAGCTGTCCTCCAGGACACATAAAGTATTTCAGTAAAGCTGGAGTGTACCCACCTCACCACATGTCATGACTAGATGAGGGGCTACGTGCCCCGTTCAGAAGGCCTGCTGGTCAGCATGAAGCCCAAATTTGATTTTGGGAAATCCGTTTTATTAGAATGTAGCAGAGTTAAGTTTTTAAAATAAAGCAGGGAGGTCCCAGGGTTCTCAGCACAGTCACTAGATAGATAATAGATAACAGACAGGAACAGGACCCCTCAGTGTTACAACCCTTCCTCCTCACCCTCACCCCACTTAGAATAAACCCAAGCTGCAGGCTGGGGCTTGTGTCTGCAGTGAGGGCTTACAAAGCCAAGACTCCCTGCCTCATCTAAGAGTCCAGACTCCTCAATCTTTCCTTTGTCCAGGTAATTTCTATGGAAGAACTGAAACATTTTAAAGCCCCTATGGATAAGTTTTCCTGCATATTCAGGCCCTCTCCTGCTAGGGTAGCTGTGCCCAGTGGACATACTGGGCACATGTCCCCAAGCCTAAGTCATTAGCCTATTCTTTTCTCCCTATGAGACGGAAACTTTTTAAACTCATTCAGTTCTAGGAAAGTGGTTCTGTGGGAACCCCTGTGAGTGGAGGAAAGCTTGTAGCTGGTGGCACAGGGCTGTGTTCAGTGAGGTCCCTCCTTGTGCGCCTCAACTCAGGGTCTGGAGTGGAGCATACTCAGGCTCTGCCCCAGAGAGCCAGGCCCACAGTCAGTGCTGGGGTGAGATAGCAACTGTTGGGTTGCTAAGGCACCTTCCTTGACCAACAACTCAGTCACCCCCCTCCAGATATAGCTTATTTTTTAATATGTGTGGGTGCATGTATGTGCATATCCGCATTTGTGTGTGTATACACTCATGTGTGGGTGTGCGTGTGCTACAGCACATGTGTGATAGAGGACAAACATCGTCTTCAGCCCTTGCTTCCTCCATATTGGCTATGCATTTATATTAGCTGGCCCAGGAGCTTCTGGGGACTGTCCTGTCCCTACCTGTCATCTCACCATAGGAGCACTGGATTACAGACATATGCTGCTGTGTCTAACTTTACCTGGGTCTTGGGGGCCCAAACTTAGGTCATTTTACCCACAAAGCCCTTTCACCAGCACAAGTTCATTTTTAGAACCGATTGCTTGAGGTAGGATTCACGTGCCATGTGACCCACCAACTTAAAGGAACAGTTGATTTCAGGACAGTGCCCCAGATAGAAGCCCTGCACCATGAGCAGTTAGTGTTTGTAAAAATGGTTGACATGTGACCTTTTACGACTTATTCCTAGTATTTTCAAGGTAAGCCCACATGGTAGCTTGTATCCAAACATCACTTACTCCATCACTTGACAGACAACATTCTGCCCTTCTTGTTCAACTTGTGGACATCTGGGCAGGTGGTTTAATTAGTTAAATCTCTTAATAGCTTTGACCATTATCATAATTCCTGTGTAGGGTTTTTTTTGTTTTGTTTTGTTTTGTTTTTTTGTTTTTTGTTTTGTTTTGTTTTGTTTTGTTTTTTGAGTATCTTTAATTCTCTTGGATGTAGACACCTAGGAATTGAGTTGCTGGCTTCAGTGGTAATTGCCACACTCTTCTTCTCTGGTGGCTGCTCTTCCTGCCTGCCCTGGCCCTGAGGAATCTTCCAGTTTTTCCATGTCTACAGCTCATGTGCTGTCTTCAGTCTGTGTGGCAGTCAACCTGGTCTGTGAGGCATCTCCTTGTGCTGTGGTCTAGGGACCCATCCTGTGTTATGGTCCTTCCACACATCCTTCTGGAGACTTGACTATCTAAACCATGGTTTTGAGTGGGGGAAGGTGCAGGTTGAGACATAATTTCACAGCGTAGTGAACTGGCTAGCACTTACGTGTAGAATTTAGGGCAGTCCCATATCTGCTGCTGAGTTCCGGGATTACAGGCATGAGCTACCACACTCAGACTCAAATCCTATTTTTTTTTTAATTGAGGTTTTTATTGTTGAGTTGTAGCAGGTTTTTCAGTTTTTCTGGGTGTAAGTCCCTTGTCAGATCTGTCATTTGCAATATTTCCTCCTCCTATGTAATCTGTGTTTACTTGTTGACAATGGTCTTTGAAGTATGGACTTTAAATATTGATAGAGTGTGATTTAATTTAATTTGTCTTTTATTGCTTGTATTACCACTTATTTATTTTTAAAAAGGCATTTCCTACTCCAAGATTATTGGTTATTAGTATGTTTTGTAGTTTAATATCTTACATTTGAAATGCATAACCTGTTAGGATAACTCTAGATATAGTGTGAGGTGGGGGGCAGCTTTTTGCTTAATTGTCTAAGCACTATGTGTTCCCAATTCTGACCCTGCCCTATTGATCTGTCTCACCAGCGCCTGGCTGGACTTCCTGCGTCTTTTGGTCAGGATACACTAGATAGAGTATGTAACCTTCCAAATGCCAGGCTTGCTAAAGAGTCATTGTAGGTGAAGGGAGTATATCCGTGTTGGAGTTGTATCTGGTGGTGGACCATCTGGGAGGTTGAGGCACAAATCTCTGGTCAGAAAGAGATGGCTCAGCTATTAAGAGCATGTACTGCCCTTACAGAGAATCTTGAGTTTCTCAGTAGGCACACCAGGTGGCTCACAATGCCTGTAACTCCAGCTGAGGGGACCAGATGCCCTCTTCTGGGCTCAGTAGGCACTGCACTCACACATGCACATACACAGGTAAAAATAAAATCTTAGAGCCGGGCAGTGGTGGTATACACCTTTAACCCCAGTACTCAGGAGGCAGAGGCAGAGGCAGGTGGATCTCTGTGAGTTTGAGACCAGCCTGGTCTACAGAGTGAGTTTCAGGACAGCCAGAGCTACACAGAGAAACCCTGTCTTGAAAAAAAAAAAATCTTAAAAAGAGCAGGACAAAATGTGCAACATAAGCATATGAACTGTTTGTATTGTTTAAAGTTACTGTGTATGTGCATGATGATAGGGTTACACATGCCACAGCGTGCATTTGTGGGTCCAAGGACAGCTGTGGAGTGGGTTCTCTCTGTCCACCTTTACCAAGGTTCTAAGGATGAGACTCGGGTCACCAGACCTGCCATGAGCATTCACCTGCTGAGCAGCTTGCTACTTCTCAGTCTCAGAATGGAAACTATTAGGAAAAGCATCCGTACTTCCAGCTTTATTACTTTAGCCATCACTGCTGTTTCAGGCTGGCTTTTTGTGTGCTGAAGAGTTCAGGGTTTAGAAGATTCCTTGAGGAATCAGGTGCTAAAAGCTCCAGGGGTCACCCCAAGGGATTGGTGCTTGTATTTCATGTAGAAACCTC